CTTCGGCTCTGTGCTTCTCAGAGTAATGTGAAGAATTGCTCTGAGAATTACTCTGAGAAGCACAGAGCCGAAGGCACAAGCCTGAAGATGATGAATGAGACTTCATCGAAACGTTGCTTAGATACTTCCAATTTTACATGGGAGAAAACCCAAATAACCAAAGATCCACATACAAATATCCGTGAGAACCTCAGAAAACACACATATATGTATGTATGGCATTCAGCTTTGTTCGGGTATTTTCCCACGTCATTGTAGTTGTGCTTTTAAAGTTGTAGCAACGTTTCGGCAGAATCTGATCTGCCATCATCAGGCTTCTGATGCCATACATGTAAGTACCCACGAAAACTTAAGAAAACAAATATATATATATATTATGTCTAATTGTTTTCTGAGGTTCTCGCGGGTATTAGTATGTGGATCTTTGGTTATTCGGGTTTTCTCCTGCGTAAGATTGGAAGTATCTAGGCAACGTTTCGATGAAGTCTCACTCATCATCTTCAGGCTTGTGTCTTTGGCTCTGTGCTTCTCAGAGAAGCATGTCTAATTATATATATATATATATGTCTAATTATGTCTAATTATGTGTGTATATATATATATATATATATATATATATGTTTTCTGAGGTTCTCGCGGATATTTGTATGTGGATCTTTGGTTATTCGGGTTTTCTCCCACGTAAAACTGGAAGTGATTTGCTTAACCATGGCAAAAAGGTAAAAAATTGGGCGTGACTCGCAACTATCTTGCTTAGCAACGGAAATTCTGGTTTCAATGGTGATTGTAATTCAAGGGCTGCCCCTACAGGGAACTTAAGAAATCAATGGGTCACACATCTTGGAGGGTGAGGTTTTGGGGAAATAAAAATACATACTCTAACTTCAGTAGCAATAGTACTTTGATTTATATATCGCTTCACAGTGCTTTACAGCTCTCTCTAAGTGATTTAGAGAGCATATTGCTCCCAACAATCTGGGTCCTCATCTTACCAACCTCAAAAGGATGGAAGGCTGAGTCAACCGTGAGCTGGTGAGAATTGAACTGCCAAATTTCAGGCAGCCGATAGTCAGCAGAAGTATCCTGCAGTACTGCATGCGCCACCATGGCTCTTAATAGTAAATAGTTATAGTAAAAATGATAGGAATACTGATCAAATAACTAGTTCTACTGTTTCCCACAAGGGAAATAGATGGCAAAAGTCTTATCTTTTTTTAATACTCTAGATTCTCCTTAGACAGTGGCTAAAAAAGTAAACTGTTCACCTGTCCACTGGCAAATTTGTAACTAGCTTGCTAGTTGTCATAGCCTCATTATTTATTTTCCCTCAGAAAATAAATGCATTATGCTTTACGTTAAGCATTATGTTTTACAGCAGCCCTGCAGTGTAGGCCAATAGATGACCATCATTTGGGGAGCTATTCTGAACTTTCAGAAAAAGCCCCCAACACATCCCACTATGGCTATGTCTCCCTACCTATTTCAGTTCTTTCTCAAAATCTAATGGGAAACTGGGAATTTGGTGAGTGCATGTTGCACAATTTTGCTGATAGTCCTTCCTCTTCACTCATTCCTGCCTTCTTTTCTATTTTCAGCATGAGCTTTACATTCGAGCCTTCCAGAAACTGAGTGAATTTCCCCCAGTAAGTATCGTCGGAAACAAAAATGTTTATTTTTGCCATTATGAGGCTCACATAAATTCTTCAGCGCATTGACCTCTTCATGAAGTTTCAAATTGTTTATTGACCCCCTCCAGTATTTATAAAATGAAAGTCATTTAATACTTTAATGAATAATCCACAGTTCTTCTGTATTGCCAGTTCTACAGAGACATTCACCGCGAGTTGATTATACCTCTTTTATTTAAATTTCCGAAGCACTTCGAATAAATTTTATCTGCATTGTCCATGAAATAATCAAGACAAAAGTATTTCTCTAAAAGTAGCCAAATTTTACTACATGTTGTGTAAGCTTTGCTTACAGGTGGTTGCTAATATTTTTTCTTGGTAGGGGATAGTTTTGTGTTGTTCATTTTATTGATTGTGTTTTTATTGGTCCATGACCAAAATAAAGTTCTGTCTGTCTACTTTAATTAATAGTACCTAATAATAGTAGTTCACAATGACTATTGATATTAACATTCGGGAATCCTGCCATGAGGAGAAACAATATATATATTTCAAAATAGATTTTTTTTAAAAAACCAAGATGCCCAAAGTCACTTAATAGTGATACAAGGAGCAAATAAATCTAATTAATAAAATTAACGACTTTGGTTAAAATGAATTGTACTATTGCCTTAAGACCCTGACAAATTACACAAGGAGGACGCCTTTTAGAATACATCATTCAGGAGCCCCAGGTCCCTTATTTAATTTTTTTCCTCCATTTTTTTCTTGTGTGTTAAAAGATCAAAGACCAAGAGTCAGAGACTCAGTACTGTAAACTGGTCCGACAGCTCCTGGATGATCACAAAGACGTTGTCACGCTGCTGGCGGAAGGCTTGCGGGAATGCCGCAAGCACATCCAGGTAACCGGTGAGGCTGTTTGTCCAAGCTGGTGAGGCCATTATGCAGCAGCCAAAGAACTTGGTAATTGAAGGCCTGTTAATATGAGGGATGGAGATAAGGTCATTGTTGTCATGGTTTCAGGAGATTGTTGTCATGGTTTCAGGAGATTGTGATAACTTTTCTGTTATCAGTGAAAAGACCTTTCTCCTTCTCAGATGATGGAAAGGATGTTTGGAAGAAATTATAAAAATCTTTTCCCCACCCTTCATGAAAACAGGGGTGTATTTATTCCAAGTGGGAAATAGTTGGGTTGGTGGGATTCTTGGAAGCCTATCCAATAAATTGGATTTTCTTCTCAATAAAAGTTCACAAGAGATTTCCATGAGAATTGGGCTTGAAATCCCTTTCAGAAGTAGATGATGCCTGATGGGAGATTAGAAGAGGTACAGCAATGTTTCTCAACTTTGGCAACTTGACGATGGGTGGACGATGGAATTCCCCATGTTGGCTGGGGAATTCTGGGAATTGAAGTCCACCCATCGTCAAGCTGCCAAGATTTAGAAATGCTGAGTTGGTATTCATGAGGAGAAACTATATATCCAGGCCTGCTCCATGGTATGAAACCTTCCTAATTTCACTCTTGTCACTGTAATCATCTGAACCCTGGAGTTAATTTTGGGGAAATGGATAAATAAATATGGTGAAGGCAGCTCATTCTTGGATCTCACTTGGAGGGGAAACATTTCAATCCCATCTGCGCCTGTTTAAAAGCAAATACCCTTCAAGGGGAAGGATATTTGAGGAAGGCTGGGTGGGAAGAAAGGTTTTGCGGTTGCTTTGAATCTCAGGAGCTCTCCTGTTTCTTACTAGGATGAGAAGATGATCCGTTCCTTTCTGGACAAGACCCTCACTTCCCGCTTAGGCATCCGGATGCTGGCTATTCACCACCTTGCCTTGCATGAGGACAAAGTAGAGTCTTTCTTGAATAGAACTGAGATTTTATGGTCAGGAAAAATTAGATCTGAGTTGCAGGGGTCAGAACTTTGCTGTTAGTAAGCTAGATGTGATTTTGATTCATGTTTTTGAGGGGTCTGAAGCTGTTCCCCCGCTCCAAGCTCCATAGCTTTCTTTCAAAAGGTTTTTCTCATTCTTGGATTAGAAAAAAAAAAACCCTTTAATATAGGGCTGGCTGTGAACATGGAGCTTTCCTTTGTGTCTGTGTGTGATTTAACTTTTTATTAGTTTATCAAAGTATAAAAGAAAAGAAAAAAACATGGAAAAGTAAGAAGAGAGAAAGGGAAAAAGAGAGTGTAACGGGAGAAAAAGAAAAAAGCACCAACTTCCGACTCTCTTTAGCACAGTAGAAGGTAACAACATTAACAATCACAACTTTTTGCTTTTACACAACAGTATGTACAAGCCATAACAAGTATGTACAAGCTATAGCCATAACAGTATGTACAAGCTATAACCGTAAGCTTGTCTAGTTTACAAAAACAGAATCAAAGTTTCTTATATATTTTTTCCCATTGCAAATACAAAATCCGGAAGCAATTTCAAACCAGAGACAAAATTAAATGTAATCTCTTATTTGGATAAAAGAATCAGTTTAACCATCTCTGCTTCTCTTTGCTGGGGCCTTCCAGAATCTCTCCAAGGTTAAAAATAATAATAATAACTCAAGCCTTGTGGAAGGAGCTTTCTTCAGAAGGCAACTGGATTTTGTTTTTCCTTGAAAACATTTTGCTTCTCATCCAAGAAGCTTCTTCAGTTCTTCCAGATCACAGGAAGTTGGTAGCACTTAACAATCTTGATTGATCTTGGCACCTAAGCCAGGTTGGATGGGAGGCCACTAGGAAATTTTAGGGCTGTAGGCCAAAACAAAAAGACAAAAACTGCTGGAAGAAGTAGTAGCAACTTACTTTTGTATCGCTGCCAAGAATACCCAGATCAAGTCCGACTGACTCAAAGTTGCTTCCTTTTTTTAAAATTCACTTGGCCATTCAATCTTTTCACAGTAAACATGTCCTTAAATTCTACAAAGTTTCCCGCCTCTGATCATTCCCACTAATTTTCCCTAAATCTGTGGCATTTTCTCTAGTCCCTCCCGTGCTGTGATGCCCAGGCTATTGCAAGTTAAATTAGAAATATTATTTTCCTGCTTCGGAAATTCTATCTCTTTGGACACCTCCAAAAGCATTTCTAACAATGAAAGGAATTGGCCATTGATAACTGTTTGCAGACCTTTTCTGCAAACAGAACGGATGTAGATTTTGACAAGCACAGAAAACAAAGTCCATTCTGAGGGCAGTTTGAGAATAGGGAGAAAAAAAGTGAAATTCCAAGTTCACAGAAAAGCATGAAAAATCAGAGTAGAAAAGAAAAGAGCAAAATAAATAAGAAAAAAATTGATGTATTTTTTTTCACTTTTCCAAGCAGTTTTTACAACGTCTTTGATTATGCCCACCTTCCATTCTTTCTGTAGGAAAATTAATCTCCCTCATAATGTTTTCTCATAAGGACATATCTTTTCTCTTGCTGCAGTTATGTTTTTATTATTTATTTGTTTTACCTTTTTACTTCATTTCCATCCCCTTCCCCCAAGATCTATTCTTGACAGTACATAACGATCTCTTTCATCACTGGCTCATTCTCTCAGACTTCATGAACAATCAGATCAATTATGCCTGTAGATTTATATTCATTCCTTTGTCTTGTGTACCTGTGAGTACGACAATACTTAAACTGTATACTTGTATTGTCTATTCTCTGTCGTTTTTCTTCATTCATGCAACTTCAAATGGCCCAATCACCTTTTTTTGTATTTCTTTGCTCTTTTCCTCATCCACTGATTCATATCATCTGGCAGAATAATTTTGCCTCAGGTTCTTTACTCATTAAGTATATTACACAATTTCCCCACAATTCAAGTTCAGTTGTTCCATTATCATCAATCTTTCGAACATAATTTGCTTGCCTCACTAATCTAAATGTCTGTTTTCAAGCCAGCCACAACAAACTAGATAACATCAGTTGTTATGTACTGGCACATAGTTTAGCCTTTTCCTTCATAATTACACCTGTATTTTTATGTTCTTTCAGGTATTTCTCAACCTTACAAAATCAGGGCACCTTCATACAGCTCTATTACTTCCTTCCCTTTTGGGTTTCACAGACCCAAACCTCCCCCCCTCCCTTCTTTCCTTCCCTCCCTGTCAATTCCTTCCTTCTTCCCTCCCCTCTATAAGGGGACTGGAAACCTCTTAAAACTTTTTGCATGAAACAGAAAAAAATGAATTGGCATTCTGATGATTAGAAAAAGAAACCCAGAGAATAAAAAAATATGGGGTGGTTTCCCCCTCCCTCCATTCTCTGATTTCCCACAGAGTAAGAGATACTTTTATAATCATATTTATAGTTGCTCCAAAGGAAACCAGAAGCTTCTTCTGTCTATTTATTCTTACTGTACTTTTGTTCTTTTTTCTTTAGTTTCTGTTTTATATTGGCTTTTATGCTCCCTTTAAAACATTTAATTTAAAATTTTTATATAAAAATGAAACACTGTGGGAGGCATAACAGAGCATCTAACAGTGTGGTATTCCAAGACACCCAAATTCAGGCGGGATTCCTTGCTAGAACAGACATCCGGCCTCTTTCCTCCAGCAAGAAAGAAAGAAAGAAAATCTTTCTCCTTTGGCCGGCACAGATTTAGATTCCTGAGTGACAGAGAAGAAAGCAGAAATTGCCTCGCAGGAGAAATTAGTAACCAGTCATCAGGGTTTTGCTGACCTCTTTGCTTTTGACTCATCAGCCCATAGATCTTGCAGGCCCAGCCCAAAGTTTTTTGGAATTAGCTGTTAGATTTTGGCCTTGGGGGTTGAGGGAAGACAGCTTTCAGGTTAAATATTTCGTTGGGATGAATGATGTTAATCCGATACTGAAGCAAGCATGATTATTATTTTTGCATTTTCTTGCAGCCAGACTTTGTCGGAATCATCTGCACCCGCTTGTCACCAAAGAAAATAATTGAAAAATGGGTGGATTTTGCCAGGTAATTCAATTATTGCTGCTGATCTGGTTTCACGCTGGTTATACAGGTAGTCCTCGACTTACGATCGCAATGGAGCCAAAATTTATGTTGCTAAGTGAGACACTTGTTAAGTGAGTTTTGCCCCATTTTACGAGCTTTCTTGCCACAGTTGCTAAGTGAATCACTGTAGTTGTTGTTGGTAACGACAACAACACAGTTGTTGTTAAGTGAATCTGGCTTTGCTCATTTGATTGTGAGAAAGTCACAAAAAGGGGATCGCATGATCCCAGAGACACTGCAACGGTCACAAATATCAGTCGGTTCCCAAGCATCTTAATTCTGATCACATGACCCTGGGGATGTTGCAACGGTCATAAGCGTGAAAAACAGTCATAAATCACTTTTTTCAGCACCATGGTAACTTTGAACAGTCATTAAATAAATGGTTGTAACCTGAGGACTACCTGTAGTATAATACAGGTAGTCCTTGACTTGCAAGTTTTCATTTAGTGACCGTTTACAGTTATAACAGCATTGAAAAAGTGAGTTATGACCATTTTTCACACTTAGGACCGTTGCAGCATCCCCAGGGGCACATGATCAAAATTCAGATGCTTGGGAACAGACTCAGACTTATGACGGTTGCAGTGTCTCTGGGATCATGTATCCCCATTTGCGACCTTCTGACAAGCAAAGTCAATGGGGAAACCAGCTTCACTTAACAACAACTGCAGTGATTCACTTAATAACTGTGGTAGGAAAGGTCGTAAAACAGGGCAAATCTCACTTAACAAGTGTCTCACTTAGCAACATAAATTTTGGGCTCCATTGCTGTCATAAGTTGAGGACTACATGTATGCTGCTGTCAATAGCTCCATCTAGTGTCCATACTAGATAGATCTTTTTTTTTTTAAGCTTTGTAAGATTACAAGTAGTTTTTGACTAGTGACCATTCTAAATTAACAGTGGCCCTGAAAAAAGTGACTTAGGACCAGTCCTCACACTTATAACCCTTGTACCATCTTCATGGTCACATGATCGAAATTTGGGAGCTTGGCAAAAGGCACGTATTTGTGATGGTTGGAGTGTCCCAGGTTCAGGAAATTGGCATTTGCAATCTTCCCGGATGAAGTCAGTGGAGGAAGCCAGATTTGTTTAACAACTCCATGACTCACTTAACAATGGCAGTAACATCCATGCCAAAAAGATCACCAGAACTCCCTCTAGCAAACATCTTATTAGTAATAGGAATTGTGGTCAAATTGTGATTGTAAGGTGAGGACTAGCTGTAACTGTTAGCTTCCCCACCCCCAGCCCCCATTCTGCAATTTTTCAACTCAGGAGCAGGAGCATCAAGTGTTAAATTAAAAGGCATTTAAACTAAATAAAAGCACAAAATAATCCAATAAGTGATATTGGATTGAATTTAAAAAATAATTTAAAATCCAAAGATTTGAACGGTGTAATTGGAGGCCAATTAAAAAGATGGATCTGATCTGCAAATATAAGTTCTTCAGTATATGGGTGAGGATTGCATTTGTGCCTGATGTCTCTGGAGATTCTCAATCATCCAGGTCATGGTTGTCCCAGAGGTGATTTTTTTTGCAAGAGGCAACTGGACTTTCTGGATTTCCTTTGAAGACGTTTTACTTCTTATCCAAGAAGCTTCTTCAGCTCTGACTGGATGATGGGGAATTTATACTCCTTGCAGACAGCTGGTCATTTGCATCCTTATAGCCAGTTGTTAAGGCCACCTGGAGGTTTATCTGTGTCGTCAGGATCACAAATCAAAATGGAACACCCGTCTGTTAAGAGAGAGGAAGGGATACAACATCATTTATCTCCAGTATACTACACAATCCTTTCAACAGTTCCAAGAAGACTCTTGCACTACTCAGGTGACCCTGAGGACACAGATCAACCTGCAGGTGCATTATTTTTTTGAAAACAATTTTATTAGTTTTTTAAAAACAAACAAACAAAACATAAAAACATCCAGCTTTCTTTCATAAATATACAAACAAGTGTGTTGGTTGGTTTACCAGTTTTTGTGCATTCATTTTGTAGTCTCAATTACAGTTACATTACATAATAACTCATATTATCAATCAAAAATTATATACCCTAGTATCACTATCAAACAATCATTTATTTGACTATGATTTTATTCATTCATACTTTACGAGATAACTATAATTTACTTAATTTATTTTATAACAAATCATATAATCATACCAAATCTATCCTGAAGACATTTTATAAATGTGATATTAAATAAAAAAGAAAAAAAATATCTAACCTCCAGGTGCATTAATGACCCTCTAAAAGGATGCAAATGACCAGCAAGGAATATAAATCCTTCCATTCCCCACCATCCAATCAGAGCTGAAGGAGCTTCTTGGATGAGAAGCAAAATGTCTTCCAAAGAAAAACCAGAAAGTCCACTTGCCTCTTGAAAAATTTGAGACATTTGTGCCGGATGATTGAAAGAATGCTATTATGGTTCCATTAATCAAAGAAAAAAGAATCAAGAGTGAATGCCAGAACTACAGGACTGGTTTAGTCAGCCTGCCTGGAAAGATGGAATCAGTCTCTTTGCAATGCACTTTGTTCCCAGAAACATCCCTTCATGAGAAATTTGGGTCTCTATTTAACCCCTTTCCAATTTTTCCGCAGGCGCCTGTGTGAACACAAGTATGGCAATGCACCTCAGGTGCGGATCAATGGGCACGTGGCAGCTCGCTTCCCTTTCATTCCAATGCCTCTGGATTACATCCTTCCAGAGTTGCTGAAGAACGCAATGCGGTGAGTGCCAGAGCTCTGTGAGCAAGAAGGAGATTTTGTCCTAATTTGGTTTACTTGAGTGAGAGGGCAGCAATATCGAGAATGTAAGCAGGCATCTGTCAGGAACGGATACCATGAGGGAGAGTTGGCAGGGGAAATCCAACATATGAAGGTGGCACTCAAAGAGGGTGCTTAGTTGTTGAGATCAAACCAGGTCTAAATTCTGAATCATCCTGACAGGCAGTAAAGGTCAGGGCCACCAGTGAAATTCTAATTAAAGGAATGTATTACTAATCGTGTCTATGCACAGGAATCTACTCACTATCTTGGCTTTAGATTAGGGCTGGATTCAAGAGAGGTTGGACTAAGCCCTTTTGTGGCTACATAGGGATTCTAGGCTAATTTCTCTTTTGACTCCGCCCCAGCTTCTGCCACTCCTCCTACACATCCTTCCTGCTTGCTTGGTAGAACCATCATATGTTGGTTCCAGATCCTGGAATACTCTTAATACTACATTCAAGTGGTCCTAGACTTACAACCAGGGGTGGGATGCAATATTTTTAATACCTGTTCTGTGGGCGTGGCTAGGTGGGAGTGGCTATGTGGGCGTGGTCAGGTGACTGGGTGGGCATGGATTTTTTGCAGGCCCGCCCCCCCCATCGTGCTCTGTTTGTTTGTTTTTGCTTCCTGGGCCTCAGGGAAGCCTGGGTGAAGCAGTAAGACAGAGAGGTAGATCCCAGAACAGCTGATTGTCGGGACGAAAAAAAAGAAATACCTTAAGGAGTGACTGGGCGGGGGGAGAAAGCAGTCAGTGATGTCAGGCATGTGCACAATGTCATGCATGTGTGATAAGGACTGATTGGTTGGGGAGGGGAGGGGAGGGGTGGGCGGAGAGGGGAGGGGAGGGGTCAGCCAGGGGCACGATTTGCCGGTTCTCCGAACTGCGCAGAATCATAACAACCGGTTCTATAGAACCAGTCCAAACCAGCAGAATCCCACCCCTGCTTACGACTGGTTGTTTAACAACCATTCAAAATTATGAGTGTCTCGGAAAGCAAGGCACTTATGGACATTGAAAAATCCTGCACCATCCACCTTCCCATTTCAGGCAACCGGCTTGCATTTACAGCCAGTTAAAGGGTCCCACAGTCACATGACCATGATTTGCAAATTATTATTTTTTTTGGTCGGTTTTGGCATTTTTTTGTTGATGTGCAGGAGAATGGGTTTGTTTATTGACTGTGTGATTCGGATTTACAACCACATGTTTTTCCTAATGAATCTCCTAAAAAGAGTTGAAAAATCATGTCCACAAGCTTGCCTCGATGACCTAATAACTGAAATTCTGGTCCCCGTTGTAGTCATAAATTGAGGATCATTCCCAGACATATCTGTCTTTGAGGGAGGGAGTTGATTGCCACATCTTTTTTTCCTGTTCCCTACAGAATAAGATGATCAGCATTAGATATTGAAAGAAAATGAGATTTTGTGGCTTTGAACAAATGTCCATTTGATTTTCCTCAAAATTCGTTGATAGATAAGCTCTTTCTATTTTCTTGATATTTCTTAGAAGAGCTAGTTATAATATAGGAAGGAAGGAGACAGTTGACTTAGAGGAAATTTAGGGGCTCTGTCTTGACTGCAGAACTTTCATTGCAAAATTTGCAAAGAGCAATAGAGACACCAGCATTGGAACACTAAAGCATCAATAGTGCAGGCGGTCCTCGACTTACCGCCATTCATTTAAGTGACAGATCAAAAGGCACTGAAAAAGTGACTTAAGACCGTTGAAGTATACGCATGGTCATGTGGTCAAAATTCAGACACTTGGCAACCGGTTCGGATTTATGATGGTTGCAGTGTCCCAAGGTCCTGCAATCCCTTTTTGCGATTTTCTGGCAAGCAAAGTCCATGGGGAAGCCAGGTTCACTTAACAAATCATGTTACTAACTTAACAACTGCGGTGATTCATTTAATAACCGGCAAGAAAGGTCATAAAATAGGGCAAATGTTCACTTAACAACTACCTCGCTTAGCAACAGAAATGTTGGGCTCAATTGTGATCGTAAGTTGAGGATTACCTATAAAGTATTTTAAAAAGTGGTTAATTTTTTTCCCCCGTCTCAAAATCTGAGCAACTGAAAACATCTTGTCTCTATTGACTTTATGTATGTATGTATGTATGTATGTATGTATGAATGTATGTATGTATGTATATATATATATGTATATATATATATGTATGTATATATATATGTATATATATATATACATATATATATATATATATATGTATATATTCTGGATGGGGACAAAGCACCTTAGAAAAGATCAACATTGAAAGAAGTGACTTTCCAAGATAAAAGGTGGAAGGAAAAAACCAGTAGTAGGAAAAGAAAGAGATAGGGAAAAAAAGTTGTACGTTAGCATACTGGTTTGAAATAAACTATCACACCTTCTGAGCTTAATTTGTAAGCTTTTTTAAAAATCAAATTGTTAACTTCACTATGTCCAAATTCTTGCAATCAGCCGAAATGCTGTTTTAGTGGAATAATAGCTTCATGGCTTTGATTCTTTCAGAGCTACAATGGAATCTCATCTGGATACCCCATACAATGTGCCAGACATTATCATCACGATCGCCAACAATGATATTGACCTCATCATAAGGTACTTTGCGGCAATGTTTGCATATCTATATGCTACTAAAGCTCTCCTGTCTTGTCTGTGAGAAATTTTAACTGGGCAAAATAGTGCAGGGTAGGGCTAAGGCACCTGAAATGGGTTATCTTACAGATTGCATCCAAAATCTAGGACCCATAAATCCTGTCGAATTGAAATTTGGAAAATTGTATAAAACATTTTACCATAAAACATTTAATGTCATAATACAAAATGTCATAAGTCATTTCCTGTGGTCAGGTGTTGATGTTTGACTGTGCTGTTCAGTTCAACATGAGGTTCTTTGGAGACAAATACATGAATGAGAGAGGGGTCCTTGGTGCTCTCTGAGTTCGCTTGTTTCCTTGCAGACGTTTCATTACCCTAACTGGGTAGCATCATCAGTGCTAGTAAGGAGGGTTATTTGCTATCAGTTTATATTCTGGTGATTTGCCCTGTCTGTGTGGGTGGGATTGTTCTTAGAGATTCTTTGGTTGGGCTATTTCCTGGTGGCTCTACGGCAGTTTTTTTGATTGAGGTATTGCTTCCTTGATTGTTAGCGTGAAATTGACCTTGGAGTTAATCTGGGTTTTTTTTTTAATATAATCATTCCATCTTTCATCAAACAATATGTCATCTGGTCATCTTTGTGCAATAATCATCAAAATTTACAACAGTATACATTACTTTGATATTGACTTTCTAATCTTACAAACACGTTGTGTATAATAAAACTTTTCATTTCTCCCTCTTAACATGTCTACTAACAAAAATATAGTGATAATATTAAACATAGCAAGCTTAATAGTCATATCAATAACAATCATCATACGAGTTAATCTATGTTGAACTCTGTGCTATTAATGATGGGTAGGTGCTGGAGTCTTTTTCTATTGGGGGCTGGTCTCTTTTGCATAGTCTACAGATGATGTTAATATCTGTGTGTCTGTTGATGACTGAGTGCCACCTTTCTAGAAATCCCTTCGCATTTTGGGATTTGGTCTGTTCTAGGATTGTCATATTTTCCCAATTGAAACTATATTAAATTTGTCTATAGGTTGCAAAATTAAAGAATTTCCCTCCTGTCTATTGACTGCCACTGTTGTTGATGTTACCTATTTAGGGTAATGAAACATCTGCAAGAAAACAAGCAGGCTCAGAAAGCACCAAGGATCCCTCATTTCACCCCTGAGTACAAATATTCTCCTTCAATATTAGAATTTTTCCAATGAAGACAGTGCATTAGAAGCTCTGTCATTGTTGTAGACATTGAGGAATCTGGTGAGGAAACGGCAATCCCAACAGTTTATGGGTTGTGTAATCTCTACTAAAGGCTTAAGGCGGCAAGTGATGGTTGCGGTCTTGATGGGAACTTTGCTTTAGAGTAGGGGTATCCAACCTTGGCAACTTGAGGACTTGTGGACTTGGACTCCCAGAATTCCCAAGCCAGCATGATTGGCTGAAAAATTCTGGGAGTTGAAGTCCACAAGTCCTAAAGTTGCCAAGGGTAGACACCCCGGCCTTTGAGACCAGGTCTAATGATACTTGTGAATATTACCATATTGAGCCCTACTCTTGAGGTTGATTAGATGGATATCTCCATGATGGGAAGGAATACGGCAATGTATGTATTTATTTAGTAATGTTTTGCTTCATCTTTCTGTTTATTCTAATGCTCAGAGTGGTTTCTTAGAACAAAAATTACAGAGCACTTTTTTCCCTTTAATTAGATAAGTTAAATGGAACAAAGCGAGCAGAAACTAGATGAATCTTCTTAGTGAGGGCATTTCATGGTCTAGAAGCCACCGGAGAGAAGGCCTTGTGCCTCTGACCGAGAGGCATCTTCAGAATATCAAGACAGATTGCAACCAAGGGATGGGGAACTTCTGCTGAGCCACCAACTTCAGAGCCATCTGTGGGTAAATCCACTCCTCACCGCAGTTGTCATTTGGAAATCCAGTGACAACTGGGGATGAAGGAGCCTTCCCAAACTGCTCTTTCTGGGAGAATGCAACCCAAACAGATCCCATCTCAATTCCGGACTCCAGCTTTCTGCTTACCAATGGTGCCTCCATTTTGCCTGTATTTCATTTCAGCTTATTTTCTCTCCCCTGGCCCATTATCGAGCTGAGCAACAGGTGGTTTCCTCAGATTAGACAGTAGGCAATAGCAGAGCTGGGTATCACCACCTGATAGCATTCCACTCCCGAGATCCGAATGACTTCTCACACACCTCTAGATGTTAGCTTGGGACTTTATAAATCAATATCCAAAAAACAAATTGTCTTCTGAGCAGGTCCCAGCAGGAGGGACCAGAATTGCTGCAAATTTCTTCCTAGGTTGGATCCTATCAGATAGCAATAGCAATAGCACTTAGACTTACAAACCGCTTCACAATGCTTTACAGCCCTCTCTAAGTGGTTTACAGAGTCAGCATATTGCCCCCCCCCCCCCCCCAACAATCTGGGTCCTCATTTTACCCACCTCAGAAGGATGGGCTAAGTCAACCTTGAGCTGATCAAGATTGAACTCCTGGCAGCTGGCTGAGTAAGCCTGCAATACTGCCTTCTAACCACTGCGCCACCACAAATGATCCAGAAAATACTATGGTGGGTATCAGTAGCTGTTGAAAAACCCAAGATGACCGGTGGAGTGGCACTTCCTCCATCTAGTCTTCTACTAAGAGGGTCTTCTGCCAAAACAACCCAAACGGTCTCATAAGTTTGCAATGTCAAGAATGGCTTCTTCTGCACGTCTCTCTTCCGTTGGCAGGATTTCAGACCGAGGAGGAGGAATCCCTCACGACCACGTTGACAAGGTCACCGATTACCACTTTACCACGGCCGAAGCAAGCAATCAGGATCCCCGCATGAACAGCCTCTTCGGGAACATGGTGGAGATGGGGAACAGTGCCCAGTCAGGCCCCATGCACGGGTGAGCACAGTGCTTAGACAGGAAGGGAGGTGCTTGGGATAATCCAGACATGGTAGGCCACCCCCACCCAAAAAAAAGGATTGCAAAATCAGATCTGGTCACCTGGTGACCCTCTTGATGATTGTCACGACTAATGACCTTAATTGCAGGACTCAATTACCACCTGTATAGTCATTGCTCTGTAATTTGGTTGCATTTGGGCTGGCGGGGTGCGGGGAGGATGGCTTTTCCTGAAGCGGTGACACCCCATGGAGGCTTCCCATCTCTTAATAGGAGGGGATGCAAGGCAACCTGATGCATAATGCTGCCAGTTTGCTGTGAATAAGCCATGTAGCATTTTATTGTCATTGCCCCTTGTGCAATGAAATTAAATTCCATCTACATAAGAAAACTATAAAAAGTAAAACACAAACCCACGTCCTTCACATTCTATGCAATTGAATTGAAAACCCCTGATATTGCATTAATATTGCACTATGCATTAGAATTCAATATAGTTACCGCTCTGAGATAGAAGCTGTTTTTCAGAAGCCTATTTGTCCTTGTTTTTATTATCCTGTACCGTCTGCCAGCCGGTAATAGTTCAAAAAAAGGGTTCCCAGGATGAGATGGATCTTTGAGAATATTTTGAACTTTCTTTAGGCAGCAAGAGCTATAACGCTCTTCCAAAGAGGGGAGAGGGCAACCAATGATCCTCTGGGCAATAATGTTAACCCTCTGGAGTGCTGTCCTGTCTGCCCCCTGTGCAATTGGCAAACCGTACACGTAGAATTTCTCAGAGGCTTCTGTCTCCTCCAAAAGCTGCCCCTCCAAGAGAGGACCCTGCTACTGACGGCTCTTGCAGCTGCGGAGAGTTTGAAACCTGCCACCCCTTTTGATTCTCTCTTCCACAGGTTTGGATTTGGCTTGCCAACTTCCCGGGCTTATGCTGAATATCTGGGTGGTTCCTTGACCCTCCAGTCCCTGCAGGGCATTGGCACAGATGTCTACCTCCGTCTCAAGCACATTGATGGCAAAGAGGAAAGTTTCCGCATTTAGAACAGCCCCCGCGATGAGACGGACCCCTTCCTTGCTTCCGGAGAAAGCTTTTAATACTCACACCAAACCCACCTTGGCATGGATTCGATCATCGTTCTTCTCATCTGGATTCCCAAGCATCTGCTGTGCTCTCCCCTTCACAAAGCATTTTGATCCTTTTGGACACTCGATGTGGTGAGAAAGGAACAGAGCGCTTCCTCTCTTGTGCGATTGCTGTTCAGAACATTGCTTCTTGATGCATCTTCTGGTCCTGCATTGGTGCATCTTCAGTGGCCCTTGGATTGGCCTCTTGAACCCAAAGCATATCTCTCCCGTTCCCACATGGAAATACTCGAGGCCACCAAGAGCATCCGTGCAAAGCGGTGTAGTTTCTCCATCATCTTCTTGCACACTGCCAATCCCACCTGTGGCCTTGTCCCAACCTCTACCAGTTGACTTCTGATACATTTGAAGATGCATGACAAAAGGAGGTTTCCTTTGTCACGTGTCGCGTGCAGATCCCACTGACTCTGATGACAGGATGGGGCATCTGAAAAGTTCTCTGTTGCTGCCATCTAAGATTCGGAGGTGGATTTCCTTCTTGGGAATTAGAATCTACCTGTCCGTCGGCAAAAGAGAATTTTCAGGGTGCACAACAGTGAAAGATGATGGTCTAGAGGGAAAAGAAAATACCACATGGCCCCTTTTGCAATCTCAGCTATAGATTCCATAACATTCTGCCTCTTCCCAAGGCAACGTATTTTATTGGCATCTTTCTTCTCTGTCTTACGGATATTCTCCTCTCTTACGGATATCATTCAGCTGACTTTTAAATCTAAAATAAAAGTTTGTTGTCCGCTCTTCCTCCTTTCCTTTCCATTAGAGGGTGGAGATTCGAAATGAAAAACCATGATTTCCTGTTACAATACTTAAATAAAATGTGCACACTCAAAAATCCAGCATGTCTTCTTTCCTTGAGGGATACGTGTAGCAATCATTGTGTACATTTTGGAAGTTGAAATCTCTATGGACGTGTCTGTTATTTATTAGAACTTATGTTTTATTGTTCATGGGGATGATAAATGAAACAGAGGCTTTCCAGAGGACATAGCTCACCTTCGGGACTCATATACACAGATATGGCCTGCATTTCCATAGAACCTGCTATGACATAACTAACCGTGTTACTATAGGTAGTTCTTAATTTAAAACCACAATTGGGACCAGAATTCTGTTGCTAAGCAAGGAGGTTGTTTAAGCGAGCTACAACCAATGTTATGATTTTATTGTTAAGTGAATCACTACGGTTGTTAAGTGAACCATGCTGTCATTAAGTGAATGCAGCTTCCATCATTGACTTTGCTTGTCAGTCGCAAAAGTCGCAAATAGCGATCACATGACCCCAGGATGCTGCAATTCTGTTAAATGCACATTGGCTGTCAAGCACTCAAATTTTGATTACATGAGTATGAGGGTTCTATGACGGTCATGGGTGAGGACCAATCGTAAGTCATTTTTTTTCAGGGCCTTTGTAACTTTGAGTTGTTGCTAAATGGATGATTGAAAGTCAAGGACACCCTGTAGTTAAGCTGGGCATATCAGAAGTCGACACTTGATGCGCATGTTCAGTCAACCACAGAAGTAGAGAAGCCAGCTTGGTGCAACGGTTAAAGGCACCAGGCTAGAAACCAGGAAACTGATTTCTAGTCCTAGTTTAGGCACAAAAACAGCTGGGGCATTTTGAGCCAGTTATTCTCTCTCAACCTTGGGAAGAAAGTGGCAGTGACCAACCACATACACAAGGAAACTGTAGGGACTTCTCCAAGCAGTTGCCAGAAATATTTGAACTCTCTCTCTCTCTCTCTCTCCCTCTCTCCCTCTCTCTCTCTCTCTCTCTCCCTCTCTCCCCCCCACCTCTCTCTCTCTCTCTCACACACACACACACACACGGGGGCGAGGCGGGAGCAATGAAAACAAATTATTTCTCTGACATTATGTATAATCTCAGTATTGTTTATAGGAGCAATACTTTCTTTAGCATTATTTTAAAAAGAGAGAGAGCCTGAAATTGGTATGCGTGAACAGGAAAGCAAACAGGAGGACCAAGGGAGGAATTGCCTATTTACCTATTTATTTATTTATTTATTTATGTGGCCATTTGACATGGGTACTTTCCTGGAGAAGTTGGGTTCTTAGTACTTTCTTGCAGATGTTTCATTACCAAACTAAATAGCATCATCCGTGTTTCTCTTCTTGCTGGAGAAAAGGGCAAAAGAAGTCCTTTCTTCTCTGAGATTCCTCAGAGTGGGTAGAGATTTTGTTCTTCAGATAAATATTTAACAAGGAGATATCCACACTTGAATATGAATAGCTTTATTCTTTCGCTGACAGGGCCAAACTAGTGTATCTTAATAAAAGCAGCTGTTTCCACATAGTAGCCTGCTACTGTCCCTAATGTTTCCTAATATAAGCACTCCTCTCAAATACCCCATGACTCAAAACTAACCTAGTCACTGTAAAGAGTACCAGATTCTGCACAGGGAGATTACCATTCATACCAGCAAAATGAGATCTCCAAGGAGAATAGGGCACATAGGCAGAGCAAAAGGCCGGTGAATGCCCACAAAACATCCACTGGAAGTAGAACAGATTTCCCCAACCTTTTGGGATTTACAGACCAGTGGAGGTGGGGGGGTAGGGAGAGGGGAAGGTTCGCACGAGTGGCAGGCAAGCACACGTGCTCAGTTCCATTTGCGTGAATGGCAGGCATATGTGTTTGCTGCTCACGCTAGCGGAGATACATGTGCGTTCGCCCGCCCCTTCTTCAGCCCGGTTCCCAACGGCTTAAGGCCCGGGTAGTGTGCCACGGCCTGGAAGTTGGAGACCCCTGAAGTGGAAGATAAAAAAGCCAAATTTGGTCTAGCAGTTAAAGCGCCAGGCTAGAAAACAGGAGATTGTGAGTTCAAGTCCCGCCTTAGTCATGAAAGACAACTGAGCGGCTCTGGGCCCAACCTACCTCATGAGGTTCCTGTTGTGAGGAAAATAGGAGAAGGCAGATTGTGTTGGATATATTCATCATCTTGAGTCATTTGTAAAAATAAGGCAGGGTACAAATAAAAAAAACGAGCAGGACTATTCTGAGCAACTGGTTGAAAAATCTAGACGGAAGGGGAACCCTAATAAGATCCTAACCTAAAGCAAGAAACTAAATCTGTAGTCATTAAGTGAATGCAATGGTCATTAAGTCAACTCATTCTGCAGTGGGTAGTTTTTGCCAGAAACCAGAAATAAAAATTGCTGTTATGTAACTGTGGGATGCTGCAAACAGTCATGAATGTGGGCCAGGTGCCAAGTACACATGACTGGGGTGGGTGGGTGTTTGAGGCAGTCACCAAAACTTCAAATACAGTTATAATTAAATTTTGGTTACTAAGCAACTGTTATAAGTCAAGAACAGAAGTATTCAGCAGGTTCTGACCAGTTCTGGAGAATCGGTAGCAGAAATTTTGAGTAGTTCAGAGAACCGGTGGTAACCTTTCCCCAGGAGTGCGGAGGGAATGGAAATTTTACAGTATCCTTCCTCTGCCACGCCCATCAAGCCATGTCATGCCCACCAAGCCACGCCCACAGAACCGGTAGTAACATTTTTTGAATCCCACCACTGGTCAAGGACTACCTAATGTACATAGTTATTTTTTTTAAAAAAACTAGACATATGCCGAGGCAGGGTTTACCTTTCTAAGGTAAACATAGCCTGCAGCTGAAACGAGAGACTCCATTTCAGGTTGGCTCTTGCAGGTGTTCCCACTCTTTGTCAACTCTCTTAATGCTTTCCAACCTCTTAGTGATACTTGCAAAACAAGATATTTTTCTTTCAGAACAAGGTTTTTGTCCTGGCAGAGGTATACATTCGTACATTCCCATGAAAAGATCTATAATGGCTGTTCCAGCTTTCTCCTTCAGCCATGCCCTGACTTATCAGAACTAAGACATTGTACAAAAATCCCTGTTGCTTTACACATCAATTAATACCTTACAAGCTCAAGTTGGGTTTGATAATACTGAGCCTATTTTCTTACAAGTCTGTTTTCCCACATGGTATAGTCATACCACAGAAACCTAAGCCAGATCTTATAACATCACCTATAAAAGTGAACATTCTCTCACAATGTACAGGTAGTCCTCGCCTTACAATCACCATGGAGCCCAAAATTTCTGTTACTAAGTGAGATAATTGTTAAATAAATTTTGCCCTAATTTACAGCCTTTCTTGCTACAGTTATTAAGTGAATCACTGCAGTTGTTAAATTAGTAATATGGTTGTTAAGTGAATCTGGCTTCCTCGTTGACTTTGCTTGTCGGAAGATCACAAAAAATGATCAGATGATCCCAAGACACTACAATCGTCATAAATATGAACCAGTTGCCAAGCATACAAATTTTAATCACGTGACCATGGGGATGCTGCAACGGTCATAAATATGAAAAACAGTCATAAATTGCTTTTTTCAGCACCATCATAACTACAAACTGTCACTAAATGAACTGTTATAAGTTGAGGACTACCTGTATTTCTCTCTCAGCCTAAGCCACCTCACAGGGTTGTTGTGGGGAAAATAGGAGAAAGAAGTATTAGCTATGTTCGCTGCCTTGAGATATTTATGAAAATAATAAAAGCAGAGAAATAAAGAAATAAAATAAATCTCAGTTTGCCGTAAAAACATGGCTTATAGACTGCACTTTTTCCAAAAGTCTATTGAGATAATCATTACCATTTCACTGATCAAACAGTTAAAACAAATGAACTTTGGAACCAGATACTGGCTCCTTTAAGAAGGTGCTTGGATGCTGAAAATGCAATTGCCCTATGCTGATAACAATCCAATTACTTACACCCAGTTGGGCAACATTATTTTGCAGAAGCAGCACCCGAGCAGGTTCCGATTTCAAGTGATCTTGTTCTGCTTGACTGTATAGAAGGCCAGGTAAGTCCAAATCTTCAGGCTTTATTTTAACTGAAGAGACACACTTTTGCAAGCTGAATTGAAGAAGCTTTTTGGATGAGAAGCAAAAAATGTTTTCAAAAACTCAAGGAAACCCAGTTGCCCTTTGAAAAAAAAAAACACTTTTGGGACATCCATGAGTTGGATGATAAGAGAATCTCCATAGGTACTGAGCTGCATTGCAGAAGAGATGGTAGGGTTTTTCTCTGTTGCTTCATATTGAGTTGGGATAACGGTCAACCAAAGTTGAAGTAGGTAAGATGCAATGAAATGTACTGAGAGGAAACTTCACAATACCCTAAGGCAGGGGTCCCCAACCACCGGGCCGCGGACCGGTCCCGGTCCGTGGAACATGTCCTACCGGGCCGCCGGTTTGCTGGGCACCGCCATCTGGTTTGATGAGAAAGTGCTTCCGGGTGAGCTTTTCCAGTTGGAAAGCGGCATTTGGGTCCTGAAGGAATCCTCGTGCCTTAGTTTCATCGAAGCGGGGAGGGCTTCAAACGAAACTAAGGCACGAGGATTCTTTCAGCACCCAAGGCAAGGCAAGCTGAGCGACTGTCCTGAAGCCGTCCTGAAGCGAAGCCCATCAACAAAGGTACAAAGGAGGCATTGAAGGTGGCGGGGAGAAGCGGGGGACAGCTGGCTGGCCAGTCGCTCGGCTCGCCTTGCCTTGTCATGTGTGCTGATGCCGGTACTGGGCCGCGGATCATTTTGTGATGCCGGTACCGGGCCATGGCACAAAAAAGGTTGGGGGCCACTGCCCTAAGGGACCTGAAGGACTAAAGGTGAATGATAGCAGTATTCCAGTATTTGAGGGGCTGCCATAAAGGTGAGGGGGTGAACTTATTTTCCAAAGCACCAGAAGGCAAGACAAGAAACAGTAGATGGAAACTAACCAAGGAGAGAAGCAACTTGAAATTAAAGAGGAATTTCCTAACAGTGAGGACAATTAGCCAGTGTAAGAGCTTGTCTTTGGAAGTTGAAGGGGCTTCACCACTGGAGGTGCTAAAATGCTAAACCAACTCTGAATGATGCAATAATACATTAGTGCAATGATATGTTGCTGGTTCTGGGGAATATGATTTGCTCCAACAGGAGTCGAGGTTGATCCTGGATTCAAAATGTGCCTTTTCTTGGATGTTTGGAAATTCCAGTAGAACAAGGGACAGATTCGGTTCATAGGCGTGCCTAATAAAAAATATGTTAGCTGAAAAGGTGCAACCAAGCACTTTCTTAGTTTTGATTGATTGATTTTGCAACATTAGACTAACACAGCTCTCCTAAATTGTGACAGAAAAACAGTTAACAGTTGCACTAAAACATACCCAACTAAATTGAAATTGCTAATAAATGCAATGTAATAGGCAGGGAGCGGGATTTTCTAGACTTCTAAAGCAATAATTATTTATTCACAAAGGTGAGTCAATAACAAGGTGTGTTTGAGTTAAAAACAGAAACAAAAGTAGAAATATGCATATATACATATGAGATTAAAATGTACATGGATATCTTGAAAGTTATTGACTTTGGGAGACTGAACATTTCCCAATAGGGAGGAGAAAGAATTTAGAATTAGAATTAGAATACTGGCTGAATATGATTAGACACACAAGGAATTTTGTCTCCGTTGCAGAAGCTCTCTGCATATGCAAAACAACAGGATAATAATAATCATAGTAACACCAATAAGTGGGGACAATAAAGAAGATAAAAAGGATAATAATGATACTACAGTCAGATAACATAGGTAAATATTTGAGCTTTGAGATTCAGACTTTTGTTTAATGTCTTGAGAAACTTTCAAAGCACTAAGAAGACTTTTTTTCACGTTAAACATGTGATGTAGCTAGTGTGTGTAAGGAAAATTATTTGAAAGCACATTCAATTTGCAAATTATCTGAAAGTTATTTGCAAGCAATGTTTCTGAGCCTAAAAGGCATTTACAATTGAGTCCAGAATTTCTGTTGTTAAGTGAGACATTTGTCAAGTGAGTTTTACCCCATTTTATGACTTTTCTTGCCACAGTTGTTAAGTGAGTCACTGTAGTTCATTAGGTAGTAATCTGGTTGTTAAATGAGTCTGGCTTCCCCATTGACTTTGCTTGTCAGGAGGTTGTAAAAGGGGATCTTGTGACGTCGGGACACAGAAAAAGTAATAAATATGAACCAGTTGCTAAGCATTTGAGTTTTGGTCACATAATCGTGGGGATGCTACAAAAGTTGTAACTATGAAAAATGGTCATGTCATTTTTTAAGTGCCATTACAGTCACTAAGTGAACTATTGTAAGTCAAGGACTATCTGTAATTAATTTTAAAATCAAATCAAGGGCACTTCCATCCCCTAAGGCAGTGGTAGAATAGAACAGAATAGAACAGAACAGAACAGAACAGAACAGAACAGAACAGAACAGAACAGAACAGAACAGAATAGAATAGAATAGAATAGAATAGAATAGAATCCTTTATTGGCCAAGTGTGATTGGACACATAAGGAATCTGTCTTGGTGTAAATACTCTCAGTATATATAAAAGATACATTCGTCAGGAGTCTAGAATCATAAGGCACAGCACTTAATGATAGTCATAGGGTACAATAAGCAAGCAATCATACTAGGAAACAGTCAATATAAATCGTAAGTATATAAGCGACAAAGTTACAGTCCTACAATCACAAGTGGGAGGGGATGGGTAATAAGGAGTGATGAGAAGATTAACAGTAATAGTAGAGTACACTTTGTAAATAGTTGAACAACGTTGAGGGAATTATTTGTTTAGCAGAGTGATGGCTTTTGGGAAAAAACTGTTCTTGTGTCTAGTTGTTCTGGTGTGCAATGCTCTATAGCATCGTTTTGAGGGAAGGAGTTGAAACAGTTTATGTCTGGGATGTGAGGGGTCTATAAATATTTTCACAGGCCTCTTTTTGACTCATGCAGTATACAGGTCCTCGACTGAAGGCAGGTGGTAGTAATTGTTTTTTCTGTAGTCCTAACTACTCTCTGAAGTCTGTGCCTGTCCTATTGGGTGGCAAACCTTTTCGGCAGTGAGTGCCAAAATGGGAGTGTACACACCTGAAACCAGAAGAGCAGTCCCTGGTGTGCCATGCAGAAGTGCCAGAAACAGAAAGCTCAGTATGCATGCTGGCCACCTGATCTTCTGGTTTCTAATGTATATGCACATGTGAAGACCAGTTGGCTCTTCCAGTTTCCGGTGTTCCCGCGTGTGCCAAGACCAGCTGGCAGGCAGGCATATGCATGCCAAAACCCAGAAGAGCAACGGGTGATGGCTGATGTGCCTGGAGAGATGGCCGTGGGTGCCACTTCTAGCACGTGTGCCATAGGTTTGCCATCACGGCCCTAAGGTTTAAACCACCTAAAAGCAGGCTAAAAATGGCACATTATCATGTTCATTTTGCCAATCTTGCAAGGTTGAGAGAACCAGGGGTGGGATTCAAATTTTTTAACAACCAGTTCTGTGGGCATGGCTTAGGTGGTGGGTGTGACTTGGTGGTCATGTGACTGGATGGACATGGGTTAGTTGTCATGTTATTGGCTGGGCATGGCCAACTAAACATCACTCACATGGAGGCACGCATCTCCTCGCCTGGCCTCTCATGACTGTAGGGATGCTGCAATAGTCGTAAGTGTGAAAAATGGTCATGTCACTTTTTTCAGTGCCATTGGAACTTTGAATGGTCACTCCACACAAGCAAGGCATCAGCAAAGGAGAGAAAAAAACTCCAGAGAAGTTCCTGAGACAGGAAGTCTAGTCCTGCCAAGAAAGTAATAAGGGTTAACAGAGAGGCAGTTTTTGTAAGCAACACAGAATGTTTCCTTCCTGCCTTCCTTACAGGATTAGGCCAGTAATTTCTTCTAACAACCAGTTCTCCAAACTGCTTAGAATGTTAATAACCAGTTCTAGCAAATATGTGCGAACTAGTAGAATCCCACCCCTGGAGAGAACCCAGAGGACGCTACAAGCAGTCCTCGCTTAATGACTGTGCTGACTTTAGCAATCATTCAAAATTACAACACTGCTGAAAAAAGTAACTTTATGGCCAGTCTTGCGTATGACCATCACTGCTGCATCACGGAGTTACATGTTCACTATTTGTGCACAGCTGGTTTCCGACAAGCAGAATCCATGGAGAAGCACACAATACATGACAATTGCAGATGTTGAGTGAGGATTACCAATATAAGAATCCAAAGAGAATCCAGCATCTGGCTGCAGAGATGGAGATCTTGGGACTGGACTCTAAGCTTCCTTCAGACATCCTTCCACACTTACCTCCCAAATCCCTTTCCCCTCAGTTCCCCCTCTTCTTCCAAAATCACTGGGAGTAAGAACTTGTGCCCCATGCCGTGAGGGACAGTTCTAGCAGCCAATCATTTTATTTTAAAAGGAAATGAAAAAGAGATTAGGTAAAATGGTTACCACATTCATTTTATAGACAGACCACAATATCCCGAATTTAAGACAATTTGCCCCCAAAGGGATGGTTAGTCAGAAAAATTGTTCTAATACAAAGCACCTGAGTGTCATGTAGTTTTGAAACCTTGGCTAGCATCATAACTCTGAACTGCATAAAACTGGCTACCCTGAAACTTTGCAAACATTTGTTACCCTAAATTTATCCATTTACATAAAATCCACTACATAATTACATAAATTATAAATAATCTGGGCTGAGTTGAATTTAGTGGACTTTGTCCACTAAATAGAGATGATTACTACATGCAAAGAAAGATTTTCCCCCTTAGATCTGCAATCCATTAAACAGAAGTCTGTTAAATCAAAATTTTTACTAGTAATTTCCCCAATAACACCAAATCATACAGGGATCTTAGAAGTGTTCTTGTCCAGCACCCCGTTTATGAAGGATTCATTAGAGAATGTTTGAAGATCTCCAGGAATCCCCACCCCCCACCCCAGGTTTTTCTTCCTGTCTTGTCCATTTGTTAGCTAACATCCATGGAGCAAGGAAGAGTTCTCACATCAGAGACCTGCCTTGCACTAGGTGAGGTGGAAGGGATTCCCTTACACAAAAGCACTTGTAATGAATGGGACCGGATCCGAAGCCAAGCCAAATGATATACTTCTTTGTACTTACCCCAAATCAGATAAGAATCTAGGGGCAAAGTCATGTCTAGTTTGCGGGTATATAGCACCCCCCCCCCCCACAAGGTATCTATAGAGGAAAATATACTCCTCATGGCTTTGGACAGATCCCATTATTGATGCAGTATAATTCTGCTGGGTTTTCCAAGAGAGCCTGGGACAGCCATTAGATTGTGCAAGAATGATCTTGCATTGTCAGAAAAAATTTATTCTGGTTTGGTGATCCTTTGCAAAATCCAATTAACCAGCCTTTCCTAGCTACTATGCAAGCTGAAATTGTTCTTGTGATGCTTTCCTAAATCTTTCTGAGGGGGATGAAAGAGAAGGTTTCCTGAGTTGCAGAATTCCTTTCCCCATGTGGGGGCTGGCAGAAGTGACAGCAAACCTGCAAATTATGAAAAGTTCGTAATTGCAGACTTCAGCCTGTTTTGAGGGCCTTCGGGCATAGTAGATCGCTTATGCATAGCACAGAATAAATGAATGTTGATCTCTCGCTCTCTCCATAGGTACCATTTGGATACAAGAGATAGTGGATATGATCCAGCTTTTTCACCTCAGTTCATTTACCGGGCAAGAAATCCCAAAGATTGCCTGGTGTCCTGTTTCCATTTCCAAAGAATGAACAAAATGTTACCCTATTCTGGAACATGGGAGGGATATTTGAAGATTTTCATGGCAGGCAAGGGTAAGCCAAGCACCCCTTTCTCATTTTTTGAAAGGACCAAGGAGGTAGGGAATTTCAGTAAGGTAAAGGGCAGATTCCATGTGGGAAATATTTATTAGGCATACCATTAGTAAGGTTTACATTACAATAAAGTAAATTGCACTTGAAGTGGAAAATCTGTATCTGCAGTGAAGGCAGGTTGATGATTGTAGAAGCAGGTACAGGGTCCTTAGTGTTCTCTGAGCTTGGTTGCTCTCTTGGAGAAGTTTCATTACCCAACTAGGTAATCTCATCAGCGCTAGAAGGGGGTAGGATTTGCAAATTCCTTTTTATCCAGTTGGATAATGAAACATTTGCAAGAAAACAGCCAAGTACAGAGAGCAACAAAGGCCCAGTTCAACCCTGAGCTACAAATATTCTCTTTTAAAAGCAGTTGCCTAGGTGAGCTCAGCTCTGTTGGATCCATTCTAGTAGTGGTTAAATAGACATCAACCTGGGATGCTTTAATCTGGATTCTTTCAATTAGAAGTGAATTGGACGTGTGTGTGTGTGTGTGTGTGTGTGTGTGTGTGTGTGTGTGAGAGAGAGAGAGAGAGAGAGAGAGAGAGAGAGAGAGAGATTTTGAGTCTTTTTTTAAAAATTCCTGGAAACTGCCTACGTAAGTCCCTCGAGATTTCTTGGCAAGATTTTGGAAGAGATTTACCATTGCCTATTTTCCATGGCTGAGAGGGAGGGGCTGGCCCACATTCACCCAGCTGGCTTTATGTCCAAAGCAAGACTGGAACTTACAGGCTCCTGATGATTGGTGCAAAGTCACCCAGATGACATTTCATGCCTAAAGTGGGACTAGAAGTCACTGTCTCCCAGTTTCTAGCTGCTGCCTTAAGCATTACACCAAATTGACTTTTAAATTAGGCTTAAGGAGTTTAAAATGGCTCCTTCCAATTCTGAGTCTGTGATGATGAGAAATGCAGTGGACCACAAGCATGTAATTTCCACCTTTCCTATGGTGAATGTCAACAGAATTGGGGGCCAAGTTTTCAGAGTCTGAGTGGAAAAGAGCAGCCCCCCCCCAACATTTAAGAATAATGTTGTGTGTCTCATTGGGATCTTCACCCTGAATGTGATAGCTTCCTGCCTTTCTGTGTTCTATATCTTCCAGTGGCTTAGGGCTCTTGGCACAGTCACGTAAAGGATTGGTGGGAAGCAAAAGATACTTACCATGTCCTGTATCTCTTTTATGAAGTCATTAAAAAAGTGAGTTCTGGAAGAAAAGTCTGAATGGAAATAGGGCTGGAAAATAAGTCCCCCCCTCCTTTCCTGCAGGGATGAGGTGAGATGAAAAATTGCACATTTTTATGCAATCCAATGAAAAATGGGGACCTTAAAAATAAAAGTTTTTTTCCTCTTTATGGGATCCTAGATTTTTTTTTTTAAGGGTAACAAAGATCTCCCCTTTTGGAAACAGTGCCCACTTACTTGGAAAATGTTATGAAAACAAAGTGGGTGTTAGAGAGCTTGAGTTAAAGTCTGTGCTGCCATGGCATTCTTTCAGTCTACTTTTAAAGTAAGTAGGTTGTAGCCTTGAAGATTTTGCACTGTTTTCTTCTTCTTAACGTTTTTCCTGCAAATGCTGGCCTTGGGTTTTTTTTTTTTTTAGATAAATGAGTGTTATATTTTTGGTTGGGACAGGAATTGATCAATTGGCTTTTCACCTGAGCCTGATGTAATGGACTGAGAGGGAATGGCTGGCCCAAAGTCACCCCATCAGTTTTCATGCCTAAGGTGAGACTAGAACTCTCAATTTCCTAGTGATTGGCTCAAAGTCACCCAACCAGCTTTGATGCCTAAGGCAGGACTAGAACTCACAACCCTCTGGATTCTAGCTTGGTGTCTTAACCACTAGACCAAACTTTGCAATTTGCCTATTGTGACTTGTCTTTTTTATAGCATGAAGATGGGTTGTTAGCGGGTTGTCAACGTGTATGTTTCTCTTGGACAGCCAGGAGATAGCACTGTTGCAAAACGATGGTGGTCAAGTCACCACGGCACACCTTGAATCAGTTTGAGGGGCTTGGTGGTTGGCGCCTTCAGCCACCCAATTTTCCAAGCAGCCTATATGGTGTGATAGCCTTACAGGGATGGTCGGTGACTGGAAGAACCATTTCACAGTGGCTCAAAATGAATGGTTTGATGAGGACTACTGAAAGAAAAAAATGTCGGATATTGACTTGACTTTCATTATGGAACGCTAAGAATCAGTTCTTTTCTGTTTCTCTTTTATCCATCTCTGCTCCATGTCACACAGGACCCAAAGTGTGAAATCCAGAAGGTAACACAATTTATAGGGAAGCAATTAGACGCTACAACCCTAGACAAGATTGTGCGTCATACCTCCTTCGAAGTCATGAAGCACAACCCCAGGATCAACCGAGCGAATGTACCCATCCGTCATGGACCAATCCATTTTTCCATTTATGCGAAAAGGTACACTTTCTCCCAACCCAGTGGTGCGATTCAAATTTTTTTACTACCGGTTCTTTGGTTGTGGCTTGGTGGGCGTGACAGGGAAAGGATACTGCAAAATCCCTATTCCCTCCACATCCCACTAACCTGATTTCCAACTCCATTCTCCTGTGCAGGGCAACAAAAGAAGACCCAGCCAATTAGCTGGGACTCGGGAGGCAGAGAAGAGATGGGGGCAGGGCCACTCAAAATTTCTGCTACCGATTCTCCAGAACTGGTCAGAACCTGCTGAATACCACCTCTGTCCAACCCCAGTCAAGTCACTAGAAGTGAACTCTCTTTAGGTATCCTGCATTGCAAAAATCCTAGAGGAATCCTAGAGAAATACAGGTTTTCTTTGTTTGGGACATGTGTGTAAGGAACTGGAGTGTTCCTCCATGATGACTTATTAGGATCCAAAATTACAGGTCATTAACACAGGCCTAGGCATTCAGGAAATCAAAAAATGAAATTATTAAGAGCCAATCAATAAAATGTACAGGTGATCCTTGACGTATAATCACAACTGAAACCAAAAATTCAGTTGTTAAGCAATGTGATTATTAAATTAACGACACCCGATTTTACAAACTTTTTTTTTTTTGCTACACTTGTTAAGCAAATCACTGCAGTTAAGTGAATTGTGCGGCCTTGAAATGACTTTCCCTACGGACTTCACTTGCCAGAAGCCAGTGAGGAAGGTCATAAATGGTGACTACATGACTCCAGGATGCTGCAACTATTGTAAATATATGCCGGATGCCAGGTGACTGAGTTCTGATCACATGAATGTGGGGATGCTGCATCAGTTATATATGCAAGGAAGGATGCCTCATAAGTCACATTTTGCAATGCTGTCCTAACTTCGAATGGTCAATAAGTGAATGGTGATATATTAAGGACTACTGTAATGTTTTTCAAAAGGCTGAATTTGCAAAGGCTTCTAATTAGGATAAAGGTAGTCTTCAACTTACAACAGTTCATTGTTGACTGTTCAAAGTTAAAACATCACTGAAAAATGTGACTTATGACCGTTTTTCACAGTTACGGCTTTTGCAGCACTCCCATGATCATGTGATCAAAATTCAGATGCTTTGCACACAAAGCATCTGAATTTTTTTTTTCTGTGTCCCAAGGTCATGAGATCCCCTTTTGCGACATTCTGATAAGCAAAGCCAATGAGGAAACCAGATTCACTTAACAACTGTGTTACTAATAGATAACAATCAGAGTTGAAAGGGACCTTATAGCTCATCTAGTCCAACCCCCCGCCCAAGCGGGAGACCTTACACCATTTCTGACAGATGGGAGTCCAATCTCTTCTTGAAAGTCTCAAGTGATGGCGCTCCCACAACTTCCAAGGGCAAGCTATGAACTATGATGATTCACTTAACAACTGTGGCAAGAAAGGTTGTAAAATGGAATATAACAAATGTCTCACTTAACAACAGAAATTTTGGGCTCAATTGTGATTGTAAGTAGAGGACTACCTGTATTCTTACTGCAAGTATCTCTTGATGATAATTGCAGTATTATACGTTCAGAGGAAATTAATGTCCAGTGCTGCTTTTTTGACTACCTCTAAGGCTCTTGTAGAAAGCAGCACTTAAAATTTCTAAGCAGACTGTATGGTATGATTGCTTTACAGGGACCATCGGTGACTGGAAGAAACACTTCACAGTGGCTCAAAATGAGTGGTTTGATGAAGACTACCTGAAAAAAATGTCGGCTTTCACTATGGAACTCCAAGGACCCTTCTGATTTTCATTTCACTTGTTTTCCTGCTATCAGAGTCTTCCATGGTTCTCCTCCTTCAGTCCCCACAGTGCTAGAAGTCTGGCTGATTAATTGTAACTTAAGCCATGCTTTCAGGAGCCTCGCTTGTTCTAGTTCTCTAGATCCTATATTTTGTTAAACCATTTAAAAAACAATGACTTTTAAGTTGGAATTTCTGATCATTTGGGGACTTAAAAAAATACACCGACTGCTTCAACTGATTTTGATTAGTTTCATTCTAAATAAGGGCAAATATATTATGGACTATATTGGCATGTCTCTGAAGTACCTTAGATCCTGCCAGTGAAATCCGTCTGCAGTGATGTAAAGTTTCATGTTGTATTTTAATGAAGCTGGAAATTTCAGAATCACTCCGTCTGGTGATTGCACAGCGTAATTATCATGCTTCCTAGCACTCTTCATAGTTGAAAAATCTACAGAGTAGCGTTTAGGATTTTCCATTCCTTTTCTAGATTATGAGCTATCACCAGGACTGTTTTTATGTTTATTACAAAAACATAGAAATGCATTTCCAACCAAAGCATTCCTGCTGCCCCACAAAACGCTTTCAAGGGGAATCAACTTTTATTAAAGGTGAACACAATCTGCAAATAGGATCTGAAATGAAATGAACCAATTCTGTAACATCAGGAGTATATTCTTATAACAAGAGCCAATATAATTCCGTTCTTTAATCATCTGAGCATTGAGGTGGTCATTCCATTTCAGTGCTCTCCTGGTGGTCTCCTTTCTTAGCTTCTGGTTCTCTATTCCTAAAGGTTTGTTCTTGGTTGAAGACTAGGTTAAGATTCTTCTCCCGGTTAGCCTTCTCGGTGGCCCATCTTTGCAGCACCGCTTGTGGCCAGTTGATTTGAAAATAGCACTGTTCAAATTTGGGAGCATTTGGAGGCTCATTCTCCTGAGGAACCTTGGTCATTATCTGAGGTTGAAGTACCAGAAGACTATGGTGATTCTTCACAGGCGGTACTTCTTGGTCATATTTCTCTGGTTCTTTGTCAAGAACCTCACCTGCCTCTTTTGCAGGAATTAAAGGCAGCTCTTGGGCATCTAGATCTGTGGAGGAATAAAAAGAGAACACAATAATGACTTAAGACAAAAAGGAAGAATCCTCTATATTAGAGCCCACAATGCAAGTACCTAATCAACCTTGGCTGATCTTGAAAAGCTAAGCAAAGATGAACCTGGTTTGGTTTTTGGTGGGAAACAACCATAATTTCAACCATAATTGAAATATCAGGTTTGTAGATGAGGCTGGAAAGTTTAAAAAAATATTGAGGGAGACAAAGGATTATAGTTAGGGCTAAGCCTGGGCTGAATTGAATTCCAATGGACCACCTTTTGTCTGGAATGGTATGAGTAGGGGGTTGGACTAGAAGACCTTCAAGGTCCCTTCCAATTCTGTTCTGTTCAAATGACTTCTAGTAGCAGGAGGAAATGAGCTTAGTAATAAAAGTGTAGTTTCAGTGGTCTTTTGAATTTGATATTTATGGATATCAGAAAAATGTCCCTTTTTTCTTTTTTTTAAAAATCAGCTGAGGAAAAGGTCTAGAATTAAATTTGGAAGAAAAGAAACTCTTCTTTGGAAGCAAGTAAGGAAAGATACAAGCCAACATTTCCACTAAGATATCTACAGTTTTAAGTACAAAGCAGAACAATTTCCATGGAATAGAAGGACAGATTTCCTTCTGTAAAGGTATTTTTGCCAGATTGTACTGTTTATATCCTAGGGGTTTTTGGTCAGGAAGGCAAAATTCCCACAATTTCTGAGTAGAAGAAAAGATCTGATCATTTGCCCAGAATGAAAGTGGAGGCAATGGAACCACTTGATTAAAGAGAATTATCAGGTTGTTTTTTTTTTTTTCAGGAAAAAAAATAGCAGGTGATTTGGCTCAGAATCTAATATGCATTTTTTTCCTGGAATATTCTGACTACACTATTAGGAGGCTCAAATTAATGAATGACATCTGCATCCCACCAGAAAGGTAAAAATATCCGTATTCTTATAAAGCAGGCAGGGAACACAGTAACCGTGATCACGTATCAACTTCTTGATATCTATATATCTCTATATCTGAGAAGGCCTTCAAAAAAAAGTCTGATAGTGGACATAGCAATAGCACTTATATACATACTGCTTCACAGTTCTCTACAGCCTCTCTAAGCCGTTCTTTTTTTTCTGTGAGATTATACACAAGAATAACAAGGTCTACAGTATAGAAATCCCTGCTGGAATTTTAAAAAAGCTCATTGGAAAGCAATTTTAAAGGTTTCCCAAATATAGAAAAAATTTGTATAAGCTTTGAGAGATATTAACATTAATCATAATTGAAATTATTAGGTTTCATTTGAGTTTAGTTCACAATTTGAAAGGATAATGCTCACCATCTCAATATCTGCCTGGTAGCCGTTTGTAAAAATTGCAAGGGCATTCCTGAGACCAATTTATGCCATCTTCTGCCAGATCTTTTTATTTCCCTTTATCTTCGCTTAACCTTACCAAGTTCAAGTCTTTTTTTCCCCCTAGTCTGTCAGCCATTTGCATCAAATAACCAATGCAAGTTACTCTCTGCTTGCTAATCATGGCCTCAAGGGAACAGCCAGCTTTATTACATCCATTGCTAATTGACTGCAATTCATGAAACTGGGTTGATGATGTCCCATGGTGCCAGTGTTGACTCAGTAACAGTCTCCAGATCCATAGTTCAAAATCCCACTTTTTTTCTTTGATGAGAAAAAAAGTTGACAGAAATTTAAGCTGACAGGGATTTATTTATTAAGGAAATTCATACTGTGGGAAGCCCCTCCCAAAGAATGAAATATTGGGGAATATTAAAGGAAGTAATTATATTTCCCCAGAGAAGAAATGAGGAAAATCTTAACAAAGGCAGAAAGCTGCCCCACTCTTTCTTAATTGCCTTGAGCAGAAGCCTCAAGTCTTTAGAGGTGTAAATATTTTATACCTATTAAGAAAGATGAGCCAATATATTCCATAAATGAAACGCCTTCAGCCACAGCTCTTACAGCTGATAGGATTAAGAATTTACATTCCCTAACTTCCGGTTTGCAGGGCTTCAGTGGCAGGCAGGAATCCGCGATCATGTGTGGTTTCTTCCTGGGCTCGCTGCTGGAGTGTCTCGAGCCGGTCTGGCTTCGGGGCTAAGCCATCTTGTAGAGGTGGCAAAGAGCGGGGAGATCCCATCAGGGTCGAGGGAAGCCGCATCTTCCCTCCCCAACTGGCTAAACTCCCTTTCCCAAGGCGAATGAGTGGCAGTCAGAAATGGCCGCCTCAAAGAAGCACTCATCCAGAAAAGAAAGTGCAGAAGGAAGTTAAGAAGTGAAAGTTTTGGCTGACTGGGATAAGAAGCAACAATCAAGGTATCCTGGAATTTAAATTTTAAAAAGATACATCGCTCCCAAAGAAGATTCAGAAGCAGCGAATGAAAGTGAAAAGGGAACATTTCTTTTCCTCTTTCACTCTCCTTCCTTACGTTGACAGCGAACAGAGATGAATGAGAAATCGAAAAAACCTGCTTTGGCATCAAGAGGTAATTAAACTGGATAATTAAATGTCAAGGGGACAATAAGGATTTCTGAACATTAAAAAGTAAGTGGGAAGGGAGAGGAAAAGAATAAGAGTAGGATTTGGAAAGAGGAGACTGCCTGGAATTTAAAAGAATCTGATTAAATTCTAACAAGACTTCTAAAAGATACATCTAAACTGGAACTTTGTAACTAACTAGTAACCCCAGGAAGAGAAAGTGAAAAAAGAAGAAAGTGTTAAAAGAAACAATTTGTGTGTATTTGGATTGCTTGGTGACTTTGGGATTTTTGGAAACTATATTTGAATGACTAAAAACACTTGGGTGGTTTGAAATTTTTTTACCATGGCATCACTTGTGGATGAACTGAAAATGTAATTTAAAAAATATAAAGAAGAGGAACAAGAAGGGAAGGGCTCTCTTGGCTCTGTTTTTCAATTCCTAGAAATGGCGATTTGTACCTATGAGAAACTGCAAGAAAAGACTACGCAACAAGAAGATTGGGACAAAGAAGAAGCCATCTTTGACGAACAAGTAATTTTTCCTAGGGAAGAAGGGGGAAAGAGAATGGAGACTTTAAGACCCCAAAAAACAACCAAAAAAGGGAAAAATAAGGTGAAAAGTGGATATAATGTCAGAAAGCATCAGAAAAAGGGAACACAGAAGAGGGAAATGGAGGTGGAGAGACAAGGGGGTAAAAAGGAGAGAGAGAAGAAGCAAGGGAGGAAGGAACGGAAGAGAAGCTACAAAGGTGTGGAGCAAGATGTAAAGAAACAGGACTTATTTAGAGATAATAGGTAAAAATTTAACTGAAAAAGTGATTCTGCAAAAGTACATAAGATTGTATTGTTATATTTGTATTAGAAACTATGTTAGAAAATTGGAAATAATATATGATTAAAAAGTGGGATAAAATACTCAGTGTAACTCAGCGAAACTTTTGTGAACAAAATAAATGAAATAAATGAGAGAATTGAACTAGGAAGGAATGGGAACATTTTAATGGTATAATGTTTTAAAATATGAGTGAAGTGGGGGGAAGCAACTATGGAAAGTTTATAAGTGTTCCCATAGAAGTATGATACATTTGAAAAGTAATGTGTAAAATGTTTAAGATTTAAATGAATACTAATATTAACAATAGATTTGTTTTAATTATATATTTATAATTTTTCTCTTTTTAAAATATAGTGTGTAACTTTAGAATGTACTAAGCAGAATCCAAATGGAAGTTATGTATTATATTAAGTGTTATAAATTTAGGGGAAAGATATAAAGGCGTCATACTCTAATCAGTGATTACAGGAGAAATTTTGTCTAATGAGAAAAGATAATAGACAGCTGGAAATAGGACAAAGAATATAAGTATAATTATCTGAATTGGGATGAAATAAATAAAATAAAATTAAGAAAGTTAAAAGAGGGGAGAAGCTATATAGAAAATGTAGAATGGTAATAAGATATGGGATGGTACATAAAATGAATATGAATTTGAATTTGTGTCTGTATGGAGAGATGTAACCTGGGATCAAGCTGCTTTCAAAAAAGATGTTTTATGTTTTTATATTTTACATTTTGTTTGTTTTTAAAAATCAATTTAAAAAATTCAAAAAAAAAAAGAATTTACATTC